CAACTCCACCCCCAAAACCTAACCAAACTGCTACAAAAACTTCAACGCAAAAATATATTAAAAATTCTAAAAATACAAACAATAACCATTTTTTTCGCTGGAATCAGGGATGTGAAATGATGCAGGCTGGTGAAAGCCTTCGGGAAGCCAGTCAGCCGATGTGCCTTCTTTCGATGAAAGCGAAAATAAGGATGGGGACCTGGAATATTCGTACAATGTACGAAACTGGAAAGGCTGCTCAGGTAGCCGCAGAAATGAAGAGGTATAAAATGGAAGTGTTGGGAATCTGCGAGAGCAGATGGAACGAATGTGGGAACAAACAAAACAAAAACCAATCGCTCAACAAATATGCAGGAGAAAGAAGTGGAGATGGATTGGACACTCACTGAGGATGCCACTGGGTGACATCGCGCGTCAGGCCATAGCTCGAGTGGAACCCGAAAGGGAAGCGGCGAGTGGGACGTTGAAGGGTGACATGGAGGAGATCGTGTGAAGAGGAGCTGAAACAGTATGGACTAACATGGATGCAAGTGAAAAGTACAGCAGAAGACAGAAGCAAGTGGAGGCGTTCAGTTGAAGCCCTATGTTCCACTAGGAACCCAAGGGAACAATAATACAATAATAATAACAACTTTGTTTTACAATACCTGTTTTGTACTAGTAAAAGAATCGGATCTGTATATCTGCCCAGTGGCATTGTTGAGGTAATTCTGACTACGTGATATGTCATTATTTATATTTAGTAGTACATGCGATTTTGAAGAAAGCAAGAATAGCAGTTTTTGCAGATTAATATGGCACCATCCTTCATTTCACTGGCTTCTCATCAGCTGCTTACACCTTAAATAAATCATCATTATTATTAAGTTCATGTACCCAAATGTTTTAACATACTGGCAAATTTCACATGATGTCAGTTGACAGGAAGTATGCGTACGATGGTAGAGGAGTTACGTAATAAAAACGAGAGGTACGTGAGATGATGAGTAACTAATAAATTAGGTGGCAGTGTACGGAGTTCAATTCAAATCACAGAAACAAGAGATAAGTAACATTACACTATATCAAGTGGTATGAGAATGAAGCCGAAGATTACCTAATCAGATGAAAGACGGAGATTGTGAAGACATCGAGTTACCAAGTTGACAAAAGAAAACTGATAACTGTTTCTTTCGGAACACATACACTTAAATCGGGTTTCAGCGTTTGACAGAGATTGCTTCAACAACCTTGGGGAGAATTGAGGTTTTCTTGTCTGTTGACAATTTTTAAGGATTTCGCGGTTTCCACCTAATGACACGTATCAAGGAGTTACTATTATTATTATTATTACTGTTAGCTAATAATAATATTCCTAAATGGCTCCAGAAGCAAGTAGAATCCCCAGAACCCATTATTGGTGAAAACAGGAGCCCTAGCTCCACTATTGCGAGACATATTATAGAGACAAGACATAGAGTTGACGTTAACACATCTTTTAATAATAATCATAATAATTTGCTTTATTCCAAAACAGTACTTGTGATACAGAATGGAATTCTCAGCATTTTTACTACAGTATTGCATCTAGTTAGTACATTATCAATAAATAAAATTTTACGTAGATTAAGGTAATCTCAGTTCATTATGACAACAACATATTGGCATGTCGGTAGCAAAGCCAAAGTTGAACAGAGTGTTTGAAGATGTTAGAAAAGTAGATGCTAGCATATTTACTGGCGTAAGCGGTAACAAAAAGGTTGAGATATGCAGAGTGTGAAAAAAACGAAGAAGAATGTTTTAAATTGAGTTTGTAAGGAAGAGAGAAACAAAGCAACACATAACAGAAAAAAGAGAGAGAGAGAAAGGAAAAGAAAGAAAGAAAACGTTGTACCTATAAATTATATGAGTTGGAAAGACGAGGTCCAGTTGTACTACTGACTATTTAATGAATTATAGGTGTCACGCCTAATGCTTTCTTTATCGCACAGAACACGAGCTAAGTAGGGTATGGTTGAGTTTTTGTGCTTGCTAATGCGAGCATATAGTTTTCTATATAGGCTTCTGATTTTGCCTGATGAGATGCAAGGGGAGAGTTGTGAATGAAGAGGGTGGTGGGAGTTAGATAAAATGGATTTGGTCCATTTTTCACAGGAATCCATGTGCCTGTCGACCAGAATATTAACAAGCTGGTTAAGTGGCACGTTGCTTACCCTGCTGACAACCTTTAACATCCTGCGCAATATGTTATAGTCTTTCTTCAGTAGCCCTGGAAAAACTAAGGAGGGACAATAGAGAATAATAGGCAGAATGCGAGAGTTAACGAACTGTAGGAGTAAGGGTTGAGTAATACCAGAATGTTTTAACTTCTTGATGTAGAAGGTAAGACGGAATATTTTCTTAGAAATCGCTAAGATATGAGACGACCAGGAGAGATCAGCAGATAGAATGACGCCTAGGTATTTAATTTCCGATTTGGTTTCCATTTCAGTGCCATGTATGTTGCACACCTCATGAGTGATAACCAGTTTTTTTATTATTTTTTTATTATTCCTTCACGTTCCCAGTGGGACATAGGGCTTCAAGCTAGAGGCTTGAAGTTTCTGTAGCAGCGTTTATTTTTACAGGATGAGGTGGCTAGCCCCATGCCCAACTTTTCCTCTTCACCACCCTTTTAGTTCTGGCTTAGCGAGGTAAAGGAGTGCGCCGGCCGGGGGTTGAACCCCGGACCATGTGCATGGTCGGCAAGCGTCCTAACCAGTATGCCACTGACTCAGCAGTTTGTTTAGGTCAGATTTATGCCTAAAGGTGAGATTGACTGTGTGGCATTTGGAGGGGTGTAAGGTAAGACCGTTTTCCTTGGACCACTGGCTGATTTCTGACAGAAAGCCATTTAGTTTAGAGCAGTCACTTTGACATTTGACAGGCAAAGATACTGTCAGATCGTCAGCATATTTGACAAAATTAATGTCATTTGAAGATGGTAAACCTATCTATGCAGCGTGTTTGAGGCGTATCCTAAAGTTTGTGGAAGCCCTAGATGGTAATGAGGAAGCTTAAACCACCTTTATCCGTTCAAAGCAACTATTAGTCGCCACACTACACCTTCTTTGGTAAACTTTGTTTTGATACCATAGCAGATGTACTATTACCTCTGTTATTTGGTTTAGTGATTGATCTTCATTGTTATTCTCACCTTCAACATGTGCTTTTAACTTGACTTAAGTCTATTTTATCACCTCTTAACTCTATTAATTTCATATATATATTCTTATGACAAGTGCGTGTGTGATGAGATTGTTCGAAATGTGTTGCGCAAATATACATTACATGATTCAGACAAATTACGTCTTCTTATTGCTTTGGGGTGTAAGCAGCTGATGAGAAGCCGGTGAAATAAATGATGGTGGTATATCAGTCTGCAAGAACGACTGTTGTTTTTGAATTATTCAAATTCATAAAGGGCAGTAAGTGTATGAAACACCAGATTTTATTGCAAATAACTCTATCTACTTGGTGTAATTGAAACATTTTGTGACTGTGAGTCACTCAGGGATATTTTGAGTCAACTAAACAGTGGAACGTAAAGATCTATGGTTTCATGAGTTCGAACCACAATACGTGTATTTCTGTCGTTACAGTATATATAAAATCAGTAAATTATATTGTAGGTTAAATAACTAGGTTATATTGTAGGTTATATAACTGCACTAATCAAGACACTCTACTCAAACTCATGTAGCCGTGTAAGGGCTTATGGGGAATTGTCATCTGATTTGATAACAACCAGTGGTGTCCGTTAGAGAGGTCCACTTTCCCCATTTCTGTTTAACTTCATTATAGATATGCTAATGGAAGTATCCTTAACTGAACTTAACGACTTAGGAATCGACTTGTTACCAGGGAATACTCTTATGGACTTGGAATATGCAGATTACATTGTCCTGTAAGGAGAGGATGCTGACAAAATGCAGAGTCTTCTGAACACCTTGAGCAGCAATCTTCGTATGTTTGGCATGCGATTCGCCCCTGTAAAATGTGAGATGCTGCTACAGGACTGGACTACGTCAACTCCTAGCTTAGTGATAGGGAGTGAAGTGATAGAACATGTTGAGCACTTCACCTATTTGGGAAGTTGTATCAGCACCAACGGACTGATTGGCGACGAAATCTCAACATGGATCCAAAAAGCTTGGACTGCTTTCTCCAACTTACGCCATCTCTGGCGTAGGCGTGACATCCGGCTATCAACCAAGAGACGTGTATACTGCTCAGCAATTCGCTCCGTCCTTCTTTGCGGCTCTGAAACACGGCCAATACGAGTCAAAGACATGAAAAGGTTGACTGTTTTTGATCATAGATGTCTACGATCTTTTTCTCACGTTAGGTGGTATAATAAGGTGGCAAGTAATGTTGACGTTAGGCGTAGAGTGTTAGGCGTGGAGGGAAAATCAATCGACGAGGCTATAAAGTACATAGATTGAGATGGCTAGGTGACGTGCTGCTCATGCCTTACCATCGCCTCCCCGACGGACGGGCATTACTAGCTGATATAGGTGCAGGTTGGAAAAGAGTAAGTGGTGGCCAAACAAAAACATGGCCTCATCAATCCATGAAATCCTTGACAATTAAACTGAGTCAGTCAGGTAGGGAGGGAGATGGAGACTTCCGGGTTGGGGCCCGCCCTCGGAACTCTAAGAATCAATGGTTGGAGACAATAGGTGACATGGCTGAAAATCGTTCGTTGTCAATGGCTTACGCAGATGTATTCAGTAGTCTCTGTAATCTTTCATATTCCTTTCTACCATTACTCATTCATTCTGTTTCACTCTTATACTTGTCAAAACTCTTTAGTGATTCTCTTCAGTCATTTTCTTGTCTACCTTTGTGTGCTATTTGGAAGGTGGCAAGTGGAACTGTTGCACTTTGGTGCCAAGTTCTATGTTGAAACCAGACATAGAGACAAAGGTTATATAACTAGTTTTTAAAACAAGAAAAAAAAGTAGAAGCATTCAAGTATATTAATCAATACCTGGATTATCAATAACAGGAAGTAGATGAGTTTTGTCTATATCTGAATTGTATTGTGTATTTAAACACGGTGTACATGTTGAATGACTCAGTCGTCTGGATGATTTAATATTGTCTAATAAATTCTGAGCTTCACTAATCCAATCGTCTGTTACTAGCAAGAATGTAGAACAACAACAGTAACAAAAAAAACAAAACAAAGAAAATCCCCATTAAAACTGACATTAAGTTAGTGGAATTCAAGTGTTAGATTTAAATTACAAAATGAACATGAAGTATATTTCTGAAATAATAACTAGATTACTTAAACAACTTAAAATAGATGTAACACAATCATTTCATTGAAAATTGAACAGATCAAAACACCTATACACCATTAAAAACAAAGACAGAATTTCCAACAGTTGGTTTGTAAGGATTAAATTTATTTCCGTGAGTTTGACCATGGATGGATATCAGATAGAGAACTATTGAAAACCAGCGAGGAGTACTGGACAGCTGTTTCGTTAGCCTAGTTTGGGAATCATCCGTGGTACGCACCTTCCGGTTGAAAGGAAAGCTCATATGCCATTCATCCACTGGGACCAGATCCAAGAGCCCATGAATACTAACTTCTACCATTTCGTGATTTTATCGTGACCTTCAACTAGTGTCATCGGTGGGGAATCCATCCTCACTTCCGATTATATGGACCTGATTGGTCACGATTTGTCACTAGAACTCCAGGAAACTCCGTCTTGTAGCAAGTCACTAGCGAGCATCGGATTTAATTTCTATAGTTGGTTTGTAAGGATTAAATTTGTTTTTACGAGTTTAGTCAAACTCGTGTGAGAAACAATGTATTGGTCAGAGTAGGTGTCCATGGATATAAATTAGCTGTCAAAATATACATATATTACATGTATAATAACGAATAACAGCAGTGAATGTCTCCAAATCGATCTTGGAATTCTGCTAATTGTGTCAAATATTTGTATAAAGGTGGTTCAACGGTAGGTTCCTCGGTAAACACTCAGGAGGAAAAGGTGTGATTCCCTTTAAAAAGACTTACTTCTAAACTTTGTGTAGTTTACTGGACAGCGCGTTGGCGGCATAGCGGTTAGGACGCTAGCCGACCATGCACATGGTCCGGGGTTCGACCCCCAGCCGATGAACTCCTTGAACCTCGCCTAGATTACTAGCTCACTAGTTTTCTAGCCGGTCCCAAGCATGGATAAAGAGGAAGGGTTGGGGCGTGGTGCTAGCAGCTCCACCCCCAAAACTTAACCAAACTGCTACAAAAACTTCAACGCATAAATATATTAAAAATTCTAAAAATACAAACAATAACCATTTTTTTCGCTGGAATCAGGGATGTGAAATGATGCAGGCTGGTGAAAGCCTTCGGGAAGCCAGTCAGCCGATGTGCCTTCTTTCGATGAAAGCGAAAATAAGGATGGGGACCTGGAATATTCGTACAATGTACGAAACTGGAAAGGCTGCTCAGGTAGCCGCAGAAATGAAGAGGTATAAAATGGAAGTGTTGGGAATCTGCGAGAGCAGATGGAACGGATGTGGAAGGAGCCAACTACCAATTGGAGAGACAATAATCTACTCCGGTCACCCAGAGGACGATCACGAGCACATCGAGGGAGTAGCCATCATGATTTCACTAACAGCAGCTAAAGCTTTCATGCAGTGGGAACCAATCTCCTCCAGGATAATGACAGCCAGGTTCAACTCAAAAGGAAGGAAGGTTTCAATCATTCAATGCTATGCGCCTGCAAACGTCTCAGGACAAGAGAAGAAGGAGGCCTTCTACAGACAGCTGAAACAGTATGGACTAACATGGATGCAGGTGAAAAGTACAGCAGAAGACAGAAACAACTGGAGGCGTGCAGTTGAAGCCCTATGCTCCACTAGGAACCCAAGAGAACAATAATAATAATACTGGACAGCGGTTAGTTTGGAAAAAAGTGAATGTTTAACGTGAGTTTGACAACCCGACACAATGAAAATAACACCATTTCTATTGAAATTTTAAGGATTAAATCCCAGTGTTCCGGCTGCAGTATGAAGAAGCATAAAAATGAAGACAACTCATTTAAGAAATATCTGATTATGTTGCGTCATAGAAGATGATTTGTGCTGAAATATTTGCACTGAATAACATTTTTCTGGGAATGAAAGCGCAGTTTGTGTTAAACTCAGTGGTAATGTCTTTGACTACAACACTGAGTGACACGGGTTTGAATCTCAGAGGGGTGGGACATGAATTCCTTCAAGTTTGCAGATACGCTTTGTTGACTGATGAGTGTTGACAAAAACAAGACTTAGGTCAGTCGGGGCTGCCTTCCGACTGCCTCAAACCATCTAATAACAACAAATCTATCAAATTATAAAGCAATATTAAAAGTATTCATGAGATACATTTCCAGAATTTAATTGGTGGATATTGACTAGCAGTGGAATCCAGGATGCTCATTTCGTCCTATTTAGGACTCGTCTCCCAGCTGGATGTACCTGCTTTTCCCAGTGAGTGATGATGTTCCCACGGAGGCTCGAACCCAGTGCCCATAGTTTCAAACGCCTAAGCGTTATCCACCAGACCACTTGGGCCACGACAGTCACCTCTTGTATAACGGGTCATATTAATTTAATTGAATTTTATTAGATTTTCCCGTCGATTAATTGGACCGATGTGCTCGGTCTCAGGTTGACATGTCGGCTTCTTTTGCAGATGCTTTGACGATGTCTGGGCATTTAATTAGAATTTAATTGATGGATGGTGACTAGCAGTGGAATCCAGGATGCGCAGACCATGCCCAAACATCGTCGAAGCATTTGCACAAGAAGCCGACATATCAACCTGAGACCGAGCACTTCGGTCCAATCAATCTACCGGAAAATCGAAAATTCAGTTAGATACATTTTCACATTACAACAAAATTAGCTAATATTTAGTTTTTGGTTTAATATAATAGTATGAAATTTTGAGGATACTTAACTCAGATCTCTCAAACAGCGATCCCCAGGTTGGAATCCACTTACTCTAGTCTGGATAAGTGTGCATTATTATGAGATCACACGAAACAAGGATGCCTCATATTCTCATGAATTTGCAGAAGTTAGAATTCATGAGCCACTGGATAGGATACAAGTAGCTTAATGGTCTGCGAGCACGTTGGCCATGTGACTAGAAGGTTGTGAGCTCGAATCCCGATGGCCATATACTGCTGAAGAGTCCCAAACTAGGCTGACGAAACAGCTGTTCAGTAATCCCTGGTTCTCAATGGTTCTCTAATCTGGGTCAGCTCATGATGAAATTCTGTAACCAATGCTCATTTGTTACTTACTATATCAATTTAACAAACGAATATGGAATCAATTAGTGTAGTTTATTTTAAACAGCCTGATGAACGGAAATGTTGATTATGTAGGAGCCAAGTATAGCTAAGGGAGGAGTGTTCACAACTTTGCTGCTTTATCATGGACAAATGATTTCAGGTTTCGATAGAGAGAGAAAGACCAGATTTGCAGTATAAAATGATATCATTCTATTCCACAGGTTCTCATCAGCTGCAAACTACCTGAAATTACAATGGTTATAATTAATAACATTTCATACTTCATTGTTTGAAAGGTAATACAGAAAGCATTATAAGATAAACGCATCCGGAATATAAGGATTAAAATTTTTGTAGTTTAAGTTACCATCAATTTATATACTATCAAACTATGAAAAAAGGAAGGAAAAGGGGGGGGGTGAGAGAAGACAGAAAACAGAAAAATCTAATAAACATTGTCAACATGGCAGCTCAAGAAGGTCAAAGTCCATCAATTTGAAAACTTGCTTAGTGAGTTGAACTCACTAGTGTCTATGAGTAATCAGTGTAATGAAAGTGATATGGTTACCAAGGGAGTGAGAGACTGAGTATACTCTCTTTCTGTGTGCATAAGTTTGGCCTGAGACGTTTGATTGTGATTGCTTCAGCAAATCGTAGTAGATTCGCTGTCCTTTGTATGCTTAATATTTTGAAGGATTTGGAAATCTCAACAAAATGACCCGTATCCACATGGTGTCTGGTAATTGCACTTTGTAAATATTTGCTTCCTTTTAAGCATAAGTTTCTCGGAATATGCTCTGAAAACCGGATAGAAGCTCTTCTTTCTGTCCTTCCGATGTACTTGCTGCTGCAGGTGCACGTAAATTTATAAATGCAGTTGGAGGTAACATCAGCAGGGTACTTATCCAGTTTCGATTGGCTTATTGAGCATTTAGTACTGTATAGTGTCACTAGATTGGTTGCAGGGAAGCATCTCCTGATTGCTCCTTTCATCCTCTTTCCAATCTTTTGTGATACTGTTTCTCCTTTGTATGGGAGGCAAAGGAACACTTTCTTCTTTTCAACTGTTGGATACTTCTCTTTCTCATCTCTTTCTTTGCTATACTTTAGGATAAATCCTTTTGGATACCCGTTTTCCTTAAGGCATTTTTCAACAAAGCTTATTTCTTCTTCTATCTTGTTAGGCAAACATAACTTCCTAGCCCTGTCGTACAGTGTCCTTACTAATACCCACTTATAGCTCATAGGGCAGAAGCTGTTGTAGTGAAGGTATTGTCCGGTTTGTTCGGTTTTTTTGTCTACAGAATGCTGAACAAGCCTTGGAGAGTTGAGAAATTATTTGTATTTTCAATTTCTAGTATAGATTTCATCATTAAATCCACATCATTTGGAATATCATTGATAAATAGAAAAAGAGAGCTGTTGTAATAGTGTTTCGTCCTTGTTTACCACTCTTCATCAGTTAGTGCCCATGAAATTACCAGGGACCGAATGCAAGACTTTCAGTTTACGAGGCCAGTCTGTTGATGTTCCCTCTGAGTTCTTCTGAGTTCTAATAGTTAATGGTATGTCGATGACACAAATTTTTTACCAACGATGAACACTCACTTCATTGTGACATGCGCGACACGCAACGGCCATGACTTTTGGATTTTGTTTACATATACGATTCATTTCGTCTTATTACTTACAGCTATAGAGCAACGTAACTGAAATCAACCAGTAGGTTTGGGTGATCAGTTAAATTTTCAACAAATTGATGCACTTCTTATAATTTGCCTACTGTTTTTTAAAATCTACGAGCGATAAATTTTTTAATTTTTTTAATTTTTAAATTTTGATTACAGCTTGATGCTACACCGTATTTTCAGTACAAGTATGGAATTTTCAGCATGGATATCGGTAGCGCAAATTTTGCAGGCCGACTATAGATATTGGGTGTGCGTCGGCAGGGGATCGAACCCCGGACCATGTGCATGGTCAGTGAGAGTGCTAACCACTGTGCCACCGACGCACATATTAAATATTCATAGTACTTGACTTATACTGTTTGTTTTCAAACAAGACATACTGAACACTAGGCTGTAAAGAGTAGTCATATTCAAATGTTTATCAACCTCATTGACAACAGTTGGCTATATGACAATGACACATGTCGAGTGGTCCACAGTGAAGCATTTGAAGTGAAGATAGGAGTAGGACAAGCTGACTACCCGCCTGCCTATTATCACTGATGATACTCCTAATTGTAGTGAACTGGATTATGCGTCAGACTGTGCATGAAGAATTAAACGACAGGAATACATGGGACCGACAAGAAGACTCATGAAGATCTGATCTTCATGCTGAAGATTTATGTTCAATGTCATACAAACTCGAAGCACTGTAGGCGAAAACCAACAAACCGGCAGAACAGGCAGTCAGCGAAAACAGGACTTCAGGTGAACATAGAGAAAACTCAGGTGATAAAGATAACCAACCAACAGCAACAACAACAATTACAACCAGCACCAGTCACCATCAACGGGGTAGATTTGGCAAAGATTGCCTCCTTCACTTATCTGGCTGGGAAGCACCGTTTCAACCACAGGCAATCGGAATAGATGAAAATGTCAACACCAGCCAGCCAGTATCGGAAAGGCAAGATACGCCTTTACCAACCTGAAACTAGTCTGGAAATCTTCTGCACTGACTTAGAATAAAGAAGACAATTCTGATTTTCAACACAAATGTGAAGTGAATCAGTACTTTTTTAATAGTCAGAAACTTGAGAAATGCGTCACGAAAACTATTTCCAACAGTTTCAAAAAAGCCAATGTTCATAAAATTGCAGTTCCTCGGTGACAACATCAGTGAAATCATAACACAGCGCTTAAAGAATGCAGTTAAAAGAGCTTATTATGCAGCAGAAGTACGTTGTCTCTTCAAAACCACCCCTATTCTATGTTCGAGAAATAAGGACAGACTACCTAAATTTGCCTCTTCTATGTGTGTCTACCAGTTTGACTGCAGCTGCGGAGCCAGCTACATTGGGCGTACAATTAGGCAGTTTCATCGTCGTATTTCTGAACATCACCCGGCGTGGTTAAGCAAGGGACAAATAAAATCTATTCATAGTTCTATTTTAGCACACCTTGTTGATACTGAGCACAAGGTCGATGTGAATACTGCATTTAAAATTATTTATCGTTTTCCAACTAATCTTAACTTTGCTCTAAGAGTTCGTCTTTTACAGACAGCTGAAGCAATTGGAATCCACCAGAAGAAACCAAGCCTATGTGTACAGAAGAAATTTGTACAGCCACTTTGCTTACCGTGGCCATCGTTACAAGACAGGACTACGTCGCCCCCCTCCCCCTGTTAAATTAACATTGTCCGAATTATTTTTATTTTGACTTCATCTTTAATTACGTGTTATTCTTGCAAAATTAATTTATTCTATCTATTTCTACCTTTTAAGTGTGTATTGATTTTCTTCCTTAATTATCTACCCATTGACATTTTGACACTGGTTAATTATTGTTAACAAACATATCGCCACGTGTTTGGTAAACAGTTGTGTATTGTAAAAAATGCTAAATATATTAGAGTAGAGCCATAGAAGAGGATCTAATTGAAAAGTAAATATTTCTTCGCTCAATCTTTCTGTTTTTTCAAATGTCTAAATGGGGATATTTTCTATATCAAAAGTTTTGTAACAACCGTTGCATTCTTTTCGTACTGAAGACCAGATAGCCAGAAAGAATGGGTAACAGAAAATTCTGGGACGGAACCAACGAAGAAGCTATCGCTCAAAAGATATGCCTAAGAAAATGGTGATGCATCGGGTTGAGGTTGAAGACACGGTCAGGTGACACCACGCGCTAGAAAAAAACCTGAAGTGGAACATGAGTAGAAAATGAGAAGACGGTCATTGGTCCGTGTGTGATGTGGAAGAAATCGTGTGAATACGAGATGAGAGCCGATGGGCAATCATGGCACCAGCTTAAGAGGACTGCAGAGAGCTCGGAAAAATGGAGATGTACTGTTGAAGCTCTTCTTTGCGCTGAGAAACCGAGGAAATAATAACATACACTTTACTCAGGTGTACTATGATACCTAACCAGAATTCAAGTTTATAACCTCACATTACCTTCTAAGTACCTTCAGTTCTAGAAATATTGAAACTTTTCTGATATTTTCAAAAAATATTTGGATAAACCCACAGAGACGTGAAAGAAATCGCCAGATAGGGGAAAGTTGATTCAGCCATTGTACTTATTCACAGTTGTTAATAGGACTAATCTGTAGCCTCGTAGAAGCTCGTATTGTCTCTGTTATTCGGATATGTTCCAGTGAACAATTTTGACAGTACTGCATACCTGACCATCAGATTTTCACCCGTCAATTAATCCTCATGCTATCTTTCCTTCATTTCTATACCTTCGAGTGGAACACAAGACTTCAGGTATGAAGTTCCTGTAGTATAATGCCCAACCCACTCTCTTTATCGGACTTACTACTGACTGGGCAAGATTTGAAGGTGTATCAAACAGGGACTGAACCTCGAATCGCTTGCATCTTTAGAGAGAATTTTACCACTAAATCAATGAAGATTCTAAAACCTAATGTATAGTTATTTATTGAAACATTCCAAGTATATGTGATTTTTAACACTTACTTAGATCGGAATGTTTTCCGTGCGTTGAACATTCGTTAGGTAACTCTTCAGAAGGAGGTTTTACAACAACTTGCTTATTATCATTGCAATATGGTACAATTGATTTATCGTTATGCTGTGATGTTCGTGTGGTATATTGCTGTTGGTTTGTTCCGTATGATGCTGTAGACCTTGGTCGACCAGATTGTACAAGACGTTCTCTAGGGTTATATGTTTTACGTTTCTCTGATGTTCTTCCTGTAGATGAGTGTAAGTTTAAAATAAAATTCCATAAACGTTTATACCTAAAAACATTTAACGTTTGCATAGATTTGTAATTATTTTATTCGAATGTATTAAGAAAGAGAAACTTTCTTTCGTGGCCATGCTCTGAAACGTTAACCTGATTGCACAGCTTTTCTGATTCGTTAATTTTTAGCTTCAATTCCCGAGGATTTTCGATGTCACGCAACAGATCAATTTTTTTTATTTATGGCTAAAATTATCGAGGTTTTTAAAATGATATGTAATTCCAACGTGGTTAAAATTTATTTTGATAAAGTCTCACAGCGTGTTATACAGTAATATTTACTGATGACCACGTTTCGAGCACGATTTATTATCGCTCATAGTCATCATATCAAGGCACTACTCACACAACTTTCTGACTTCGTTTATATAATTCCATTATTTCTCATCTCTTGACTTGACTGGTAGTAGTGTTTTCCATATTTCCGGTATGAGTGATGAGTCATTCCTATTTCACACGTTAGGTGTAGACCCGATGAACAAGGATTCAGTAATCAATCTCCCCCTCCAACTACCTTAATTACTTATTAGAATTTTGATCCTCTCCCACCCTATTGTGTGGTTGTGTGTTAATGCATACAGTGCAGTTGCTGAGCTTTTTTTATAAATTACTTATCTTCTCTGGGTCAACCATTCTTACCTTAGCTAAATTCTTATGTTCCGACAATCTGACTACCCCCGACCTACTTACTAGTTTGATCTATGTAGTTGACTTAACTCACAGTCATTGCAAGGTATTTTGCAAATTATATTATTTTGTCTAATTGGGTCAACTGGGTCCTTTAACCTACAGAGCTTGTCCCTGAGTGAGTTTGTAGGTTTAAATGCCACCCTAATTCCTGCTTTATTTAGAATCCTACATAGGGTCTCAGATGTCCCCTCTTTATATGGTATAACTGTAGATGACTTATATTCTCTCTTATTTATGTTATTATTACTAGTTTCACAATTCTTTTTATTTTTCTTTTGGCCTTTTTCAATCTTCCTAATGAATTTTATGGGATAGCTATTTGACACCAACGCTTCTTCTATCTGTTTTATTTCATCAATTGGGTCTTTTCTTGTACTACTTAGTGCTACTGCTCGGTTTGTTAGACACTTGACTAAGCCTACTTTCACAAACAGACAACGGATGAGATGAATTAAAGTTTAAATCTCTATTAGGCATGCGTTGGTTTTTCTAAGTGCAAGTGTTCAGTTTATCATCTTCTATTCGTTTTATTTTACAATCTAACATAGCTAATTCTCCTTGTTCATTCTCCGATTCAAATGTGAATGTTATTCCCTTTACTAGTGAGTTTATGTGTGTGTAGAAAGTAGAGTTACGGTTTGTTTTTAACACTGTGAAGTGTCATCCAAATATGTCAGCCATATTTTTGGAGTAGAATTAAATGTATTAAGTGCAATATTTTGCCCACCAGCTGTCTATAAAGATATCTGCTACGATAGGGGATATTGGTGGTCCATCCTATTGCTACACCTTCTGTTTGCCTATATATTTTGCCTTGAAATTTAAAGATGGTAGATGTGAGGCATCACTGAATTCCTGAAGTAATTTTCTCAGTGGGCAGCTTCGTCCTATGAGTAAGTTAGGAATCTGCAGTTAGTCCTCTTTTAACTGCTTCTAAGGCTATATTGATTGATGTATTAGTGTAAACGAAATTAGAAAGTTGTGTGAGTAGTGCCTTGATATGATTATGAGCAGCAGTAAATTGTGCTTGAAACGTGGTCATCAGTAAATATTACGCAGTATAACACACTGTGAGACTTTATCAAAATAAATTTTACCCATAATGAAATTTTTTATATTTTTATATTTTATTTTGGATTACAGCTTGATTCCACACGTGTTTTCAGTACAAGTATGGAATTTTCAGCATGGATATCGGTAGCCCAAATTTCGCAGGCTGATCATAGATATCGGGTGTGCGTCGGCAGGGGATCGAACCCCGGACCATGTGCATGGTCGGCGAGAGTCCTAACCACTGTGCCACCACCGGTGTGTTATCACAGTTAAATCTCAGTGTGCGGAATACTTCCAAGTGATCAGTTGTCAGTAGTGTGGTTGTTCTGGAGACGCATCCAGGGGTAAGTTAGACGACTCCAACAGAGCATAGAACACTTAGTTTTTACGGAATGAGTGTGTTAACTTCATCTATAAAAAAAATCAAAAGCCAAGATATCTGATATTGATAACCTAGGCTAATTTATGACGGAGATTATTATTATTCCCTTGAGTACTAAGAGGAACATAGAAACCTTAACAACAAATTTTCACTTTGCTCTATTTTCTGCTGTCCTCTTCATCTGTGCCCATGATTTCCCACATTCTCTCATCTCCTCCTTGTACGATCTCCTTCATGTCACCGTCTATTTGACGATCCACTCCTCGTTTCCATTCATGATCCGATCAAGCACAGGCCTGGTGCGTAATCTCATTTGATGGTCTCCTCAGAGTCTGTCCAATCCATCTCCATTTTTCCATGTATATTTGTTGAGCGATAGGTTTTTGATTAGTTTCTTCCCATAGCTTCTTGTTGATAAATCATGTGACCGGAGAAGTCAGCTGTTATATAAAAGTCTGCACCTTGTTGGAAATGGTTGGCGTGACGCTTTGGCCAAGTTTAAGACTCGTAAAGAAGGAGTGACTCACTTAAAAATGATATTGGAAATCCGAATTCTCTGGTTTATGAAGATTGTGGGAAGATCTCCAAACTGATTACAGGCTGAAGAAGGCATATCTTGCCTTTCGTATTCCGACCAACTTTGACATCTTCATCCGTCCTGACTGCCTACGGTTGAAATTGTGCTTCCCAACCGGGTAAGTGAAGGAAGTAATCTCTTTTTTTAAAGAATATCATCATTGATAAAAGAGATTTCATGAAATAGGGTGGTAACAAAAGTAATGGGTTGTCACAACCATAGTTGTTAACGTTACTCAGTGCATAAGAGGAGATGAATAAATACATTAGGGTGACATGACAAGATGAATAATTTAATGAACGAACTGTAATCAGGATGGACGGAGATATGAAGAAAAATTATGAAATTATGTAGGAATTCTAAAGAAATACAGGGGTTATAAGGAGTTGGAAAACGCAGCCAAACAAACATCAAGTCAGTAGAAATCAATAAGATTGTTACCATGCTAACAGGAGTGATTGAAAAATTTGTTATTGTATGCTGCAGACTTTCATAAACAGCTGTCATCGCTCAATACTCCGGATCAGATGGTCAACCAGTAAACATCAGCAACAGGGATCTCTGCAATGAGCAAACCATCCCAGCAGGTACCGATTGTGCAATAAATATGCGGGAAGAAATGGAGGTGGGATGGCCATAATTTGTGAAAACCATCAAGCCAAGCCATCGCTCGAGTGGAACCCGAATGGGAAGCGGTGAGTTGGTCGTCAGTGTGAAGGTGACATTGGGGATGACAAGGTCATGTGAAGAGGAGATGAAAGCACGTGGGCAGACCTGGAGCCAGGTAAAAACGTCGGCAGAGAACCGAACGCAATGGAGATGTGCGGCTGAGGCCCTATTTTCATGTAGGAATTGAAGAAAACAATAATAATATGCATGGTTCCGGTTTCTCTCTCTCTTTGAATGGTTACAGTTTCAGCAATGCGAAGAAGGCCAAAAAGTATTGTCTTGAGGAGGTTGTTCTACAATTTTTAGATGACTTTGAAGGAGGAGTTTGTTGAGAAGGAATGACCAGAGTTGACAAGGTGTTTGATTATCGAACTCTTTATAGAACCACTGATCACTTTTTACAACCATACAGGATAATTTTCTTGAATCTTTTTAGACAGGAGACGCATTGAACGACCAATGTACTTGACTCTATAGCAACAGGTGAACTGATGTATGCATCGAAAAGTTTTCGGATGCAAATCTTGTCTTTAAGACTTCTGCAGACCAATGAACAAATGGAGAACACTACTCTTAGCGTTTCTGTGAAGAATGCTCTTCTCAAAGATGATGAAATCATATTCTTTAGAATATCGCAGGTTCAAACTTCCTTGAAATCCATGTCTATGTAAAGTTTCCTTTTTTGAAACAATTAATGTTTCGTATATCTGAATTTTTGGTTTGATATTCTTGTCAATGAATCACGGTGCGGGTATCCATTTTGGATGAAGATTTCCCTCAGAAGATCTAGTTGTATTTCTAGGGCCTCAGGAATATAGATGCTTCGGATGTAAGTGACAAGGGATTTAGCCAGATTTCGTTTTCCTTCAAACTCGTTAGCTGACCGTTCCAATTGGTTTTCTCATGGATTTAACTTCTTAAACTTCCATCGGCTCTTCTTGTTAGTTCCACATCATGAAGGAGAATTTTGGATTCGTTTGCCATTTAAAGAGGGAATGTAGTTGATGGACGGCAGTTGGTATATACCTGTAGCAATTGATTAAGGTCATAACTGTTATCAAAACTTAATTGTTTGATAGCGAATAGTAGTGGAATCCAGGATGCGCATTTCTTCCTACCACTGAGGCTCGGTTGGAGCACAATCACTTATTGGAGAAGGCAGGTACATCCAGGTGACGAGTCCCAAATAGGACGAATTACGCATCCTGAATTCTACTGGTTATCATTATCAACCAATTGACTTCAAGTTAAAAGATCAGACATCTTCGAAGCACCTGCACAAAGAGCTGACATATCAACCTGAGATCAAGCCATGCGGTCCAGTCAGTTGACGGTCGAGTCAGTCCAAGTTATTCACTAATAAGCTGTATATTATCCTGATAATTATTTCTGGTAGAATTTCTATTTTTAAACATTAAACGCTTACCTTTCGAATTACCTTCAGTGAGTAAAGTAGCTTCCAGTAAATGATTCAATAATTTATCGATTGGTAGATAGGCATTTTTATTTTCATTATATGCTCTGGTTGATTGAGACAATTCAAAATCTTGTCGTTTAAGATCAGAGAGAAATTGCTCTGCAATACTGCATCTTTTCTCTTGTGAAGTAGATCTTAAATTTGAAACAAACAGGAAATAAGGCTAAGAGAGAGGATAACAAAGTAAGTTTAAATGTTTGTTCAACTTTGTAAACATTTAATAAGGTAATACGATGGCTTCGATTGAGGCAGCAATTGGCTTTCGGTTATGCAAAACTGATATAGTATATATGTGTTAGGTTATTTATTGGAGTTCAGTTGTTTTCAAATTTAACAGAAGTTACAACTGATGGCATTTTGCATCCTCTCCCAGTGGCTGAATAGTCATCGGATCTGCTTCGTTACCTGGAGATGTTGGTTTCCATCGCCGTGGTTTTATGGGAGTGTACTGCTGAATGTCTCAGAACTAGGGGTGAACAGCAATCCAGTACTCACAATGGCTCTCTTACTGATATCAATGTAGGATAAAAATTGAAATATAGGTTCACTGGAAAATCCTCACACCACAAGTGAATCAGTTTTGTTAAGGTCAAATATTATAGCAATTTAAAACCGTATTTCGCCGGTATTTATCACAGATAAGTGGCTATAAATAATGCAGTCTGGTCTCTACCTCAAATTCATCGAATTTGAAAGACACTTGATGGTGAAGATGACGAAGTGATTTGGAAACTACTTCAACCCTGCAGACTGCAGTGTCCTTAATCTTTATCAACCTCATTTTTAACAGATATGTGACAGTTCAACATATCAAGTGAAGCGTTTGCAGTGAAGACAAGAGTAATACAAGGTTGGCTGTCTACTACCAACGAAATATTCTTGATTATGGTGAACTGGATCATACAGAACACTGTGGTGATTGAAAGGACAGGAATATGTTGGACTGTCAAGAAGATTCTAGAAGGTTTTGACTTCGTGGATGGTTTAATTCTAATTTCCTATCAACTCGAATATTAATATGCAAAAATCAACAAGTCGTCAGAAAGGCAGGCAGAGGAGACAGGACTTTAAGTGAGCATACAGAAGACGGAGGTGATGAAGATAACAGGCAACAACAACAACAATAACAAGCGTTAAACATTTATCGATGGAAGAAATTTGAAGGAGGTCACTTCTTCCACCTATCTGGACAGCATATTTGCAAGTACAAGTAGAACGGATCGAAGTGTCAACAGCAACAACAACAGACAACAATCAGCATAAATGGGAGGAACCTGAAAGAAACAACCTCTTTTACCTACCTGGAACGCATAGTTTCAACTACAGGCAGACGGAACTGACGAGGATATCAAAGCAAGGATTGGGAAAGCAAGACAAGCTTTCACTACTCTCAAGTCTGTGTGGAGGTCAACAGCACTCAGCATGAAAAATAAGATGTCGATTTTCAACTCCAATGTGAAGTCAGTAAGTGCCACTTACTATACGGTTCAGAGACTTGCACTACGCGTCATAAAGAGCATCTCAAACAAACTACAGACCCTCATTAACAGTTGTCCTCGCTCATTACTCCAGATCGGATGGCCGGTCAGAAAAGATCACCAAGAAGGATCACTGTAATGAGCGAACCATCCCAGCAGGAACCAATTGTGCAACAAATATGCAGGAAGAAATGGAGGTGGGTTAGTCATAATTTGAGAAAACCATCAAGTGACATCACACGCCAGGCCATCGCTCGAGTAGAACCCGAATGGGAAGCGGTGAGTCGGTCGTCAGTGTGAGGGTAACATATGGGATAATAAGGTCATATGTAAAGGAGATGAAAGCATGTGGACAGACCTGGAGTCGGATAAAAACGTTGGCAGAGAAGCGGACGCAATGGAGATGTGCAACTGAAGCCCTATGTTCCTCTAGGAGCTAAATGAAATAATAATAATAATTGGGCATTAAGAAGATTTTTCATATTAGTGTCAGGTCGGTTCTATTGCATAGTTTAGAAACATGATGCTGACTTTTATCAACAACTATCTTTTGTGGTTCGGAGTTAAACCAGTCAAGGACCTATCGCCCAACAAATATTCCGAAGGAAGTAGAGATGGATAAGACACACTCTGAGGAGGCTGTTGTAGAAGAGCACTTACCAGGCTATCTCTTGATTGGAACACGAAAGGGAAACGAAAAGTTCGGCGTCATTTCATGGGCGACATGTTGGATATCATGAGAGGAGGAGACGAAGATTTATGAGCTGTCATGCAGCCGTCTGAAGAGGGTAACATATGACAGGACAAAATGAGAATACGCTGCTGAAGCCCTATGTCCCATGCTGGAATGAAGGGAGTACCAATAATAATAATAACAAATTGTACAGTTTCGTTAGACTAACAACATGTGATTCCCACGCTTCCACTCCCCTAATCGTACACCACTGACTGAAATTTTGGATAGATCTTAGCTGAATCCCATCACAGAGTAGGATTATTTGATAAAATCACATACTGATTGATGTAGGATTATTTACTGATGACCACGTTTCGAGCACAATTTATTGCTGCTCATAATCATATCAAGGCACTATTCACACAACTTTCCAACTTCGTTAATATAATTCCATTGTTTGTTATTTCGCGATTTGATTGGTAGCAATAGTTTCAACATCGCTCTGAGTCATTCTTATTGCATGTGATAAGTATAGATTCATTGAACAAGGATTCAGTAATACACATCCGTCTCTCTCTCTATCCATTTACCTATATTACTACTGAGAACTATTACTCTCTTCCAACCTATTGTGTGATTGTGTGTTAATGCACGCATTGCAGTTGTTGAGTTCTTCTCTAAACTATTCCTCTTCGTGAGGTCTAATGTTTCGATAATCTGACCATCTCTGATCTATTTATTGGTTTGACCTATGTAACTAACCTCACATTCGTTGCAAGGTATTTTGAAGATTATAATATTTTATCTAACTGGATTAATAGGGTCTTTTTAACCTACACAGCTTGTCACTGGGTGAGTTTGTTGGTTTACAGATCACTCTAATGCACTCCTTATTAAGGATCACAAATAGGTATTCAAATGTGTTTTCTTGATATGGTGAAATTATGGACGCGTTGAATTCTCTCTTATCTACTTTATAGTCTACAGTTTCACGACTATTCATCTTTTTCCTGTTGGCTTTCAAAAAGTGTTTATTGAATCCAATGGGATAGATGGTTATTTAGCACTAAAGCCTCTTCTATCTGTTTCATTTCATTATTCATGTTTTCTGACATACTACTACTTAGAGTTATTTATTGATCGGTTCATCAGATAGTTAATTTAACTAAGCCTGCCTTTGTCGATAAGACGAATTGAAGTTAAAAAGGCTATCAGAATGAGTTAACTGCTTTAAAAAAAACGCTTGTGCATAGCTAACCAAGTCCTATTTACACATCAATGTTAGCTGAAAGTTAATGAATAATAGATTGTTGCATAAAATACCTAACAAACTAATGAGGTTACTGCGACGAAATATTGATTTTCTCGTCAGTATCACATGCTGTAGTGTCAGGCAATTTTGAAGGACAACTGTCTGGATGTGAAGGTATCAAAAGCAGTTGTCAGTGTAGAATGTCTTATCTGTGTTAAAATTCTAGACATTGGTTATTGTATTGACCAGCGAAAGTTATCAGCCTACTATTGAATTCAGTCTGCACCAGAGATACGACTAGAAACATCACACTAGTTACTAACTAGTATCCAATCAAAAATATCCAATACAATCCTAAAGGAAGTCAATCGCCAGTGAACCCGAATAGTTCAATGCTAACATCTCTGACTTCAGGTGGCACCGGGTGACGCAGGTTCGAATTTCTGAAGGGAAATGAGTTCTTTCGAGGTTGCAGATGCGTCTTGCTGATGAGTGCTAACTAGCATGAAACCTAGGTCAGTCAGGGTTTCCTTCCGATTTCCCCCAATAATCTAGCTTGCAGAGTGAAAGAAGAGTAAATACCGTGAAACAGGGTCACAATAATGCTTAGAAAAATAAAAGAAAATGTGTAGAAGAAGAAATAAGGCGTTTGAAGGCAGAGAGAGTGTTTAATTTTGGAATGGATGTGGGAAGAACAATGTCTAAATGTATTCCTCCAGTTTATGGAACTCTCGATTGGTCTACCTTAATGATAAACCATTAAAGGAGTTTTAAATAAAACGATTGAGCATTGCACTTCAAGAAGGTGAAACGTTGCCACAATTACCTTCGGAAACCGAAATCTTGCAGGTCTGTTTGAAATCATGGAAGCGTAACTTCAGGATGATATATGTGCAGCTGACTGACTGATATTGTGAGCTGAGCAATTTGTATGCCATTCATTTAATTCGTATACTACATATGTGATTCAATATATTGCCCATGAAGCCAGTCAGAGTTCCGCTGGTCATCAGCACAGCAATTACAATTTTGTTGACGTCAACGAACTCACTATATTTCGTGTTTGATCAAGGATTGATGTCTCTTAAAAAGCCATTGAAACGAACACTGGAGCACTGAACAGATGTTACATCCTAGTTTGGGATTCATTGGCAGCAAGCATCCACCACAGGAGTTGAAACCAAGGGCTTCCAGGTTAAAAGGAAACCTCGTAGACTAGTCCGCCACCAGGATACGATACAATGGCTAACCAATGAATTTCAACCTCTACCAATTCATGAATTTAGCTCAGCCAACGGATAATGTCCTCACACCGAACCTGATAAAAACCACTGGCCACTCACGACGTCTGACTAGGAAACTCCAGGCAACTTGGTCCTCTAGCCAAGTCACTAGTGGGCATCTCAAACCATTCAATTAGGTATTAAAGGCTGAATGGTTTACTGGCTCGTCTAGTAACCGGCAGGTCCTGGGATCAAACTCTTCTGGTGGTTGAATACTGTTGTGTAGAGTCAAAAACTGAATGGAACAACTGTCCAGTATTCCAGTGCCTGTTTTCAACGGTTATCCAGCTGGCCTCAATCAGTGACCAGACTTGAAATAAATCAAAGCCCTCCATAACGAATTCATGAATCACTTTAAATCGCTTAGCGAAGATTGATTTCCCTATTACACTTGAAATTATGATTGTACTAGTTAGTGTTGAAATTTATTCAGCTGCTGAAGACA